CTGTACTCGAAACCTCTCGTGATGAAGGCCAACATACCATTTACCTTCTTTACCACCTGCTGCTCCTACATGCTTACCTTCAGCGACTGGTGCACAAGGACACCCAGGTCCCACTGCACACTCCCGTCTCCCAACTTACAGCCAGTCAGGTAGTAACCTGCCTTCTTGTTTTTGCTTCCAAAGTGAACAACCTCACATTTATCCAAATTATACTGTATCTGCCATTGATGTGGCAACTCACCCAAACTGTCCTGACCATGCTGAAGGATCTCTACACCCTCCTCACAGTTCACCCTCCCACCCAACTTGGCATCATCTGCAAACTTGGGAATGTTGCACTTTGTTCTCTCATCCAAATCATTAATATATATTGTGAATAGCTGGGGTCCCAGCACCTATCCCTGTGGCACCCCACTAGCTACTGCCTTCCAATTGAAAAGGACCCATTAATTCCTACTCTGTTTCCTCTCTGCCAAACAGTTTTCTATTCATCTCAATACACTTCCCCCAATCCCATGCGCATTAGTCTTGCACAATAACGTCTTATGCAGGACTTAGTCAACACTTTATGGAAGTTCGAAATATACTATATCGACTGGCTCCCCCTTGGCAACTCTACTAGTTACATCTTCATAGAATTCAGACAGATTTGTCAAGCACGATTTCCCCTTCATAAATCCACGCTGACTCTGTCCGAACCTGCCAGTGCTTTCTAAATGCTCTGCTATAAAATCCTTGACAATGGATTCAAGAATTTTCCCCACTATCGCTGTTAGTCTTACCGGTCTATAATTCCCTGTTTTCTCTCTACCTCCCTTTTTGAATATTGGAGTGACATTAGCCACCCTCCAATCTGCAGGGACTGTTCCAGAGTCGATAGAATCCTGGAAGATGCCCAGGAATGTATCCACTATTTCTACAGCCACTTCCTTAACTACTCTGGGATGTAGATTATCAGGCTCTGGGGATTTATCCACCTTCAATCCCAACAATTTTCCCAGCACCATTTCACTACTAATATTCATCTCCCTCAGTTCTTCTCCTTCACTAAATCTTGCCTCCTCCAACAATTCTGGAATCTCATCTGTATCCTCTTTTGTGAAGACAGAACTAAAGTATGTATTCAGTTCCTCAGCCATTTCTTTGCCCCTTGGTTATACATTCCCCCATTTCTGTTTGTAGGGGCCCTACATTTGTCTTTGCCAATCTCCTTCTCTTCACATACCTATAGAAACTCTTAGCGTCAGTCTTTACGTTCCCTGCAAGCTTATTTTCCCTTCTTAATCAATCCCTTGGTCCTTCTTTGCTGAATTCTCAACTGCTCCCAATCCTCAGATTTATTATTTTTCTTGGCCACTCTGTACGCTTCTTCCTTGGATCAGACACTATCTCTAATTTCCTTTGTAGCCCATGGATTGGCCCTCTTACCCATTTTACTTTTGCAACAGACAGGAATAAACAGTTGTTGCAGATCTCCCGTGCGTTCCTCGAATGTTTGTCATTGCCTACCCATTGTCATCCCTTTAAGTAACTCTCCCTAATCTATTAAGGCCAACTCACACCTCATATCCTCGTAGTTTCCTTTATTAAGGTTCAGCACCCTAATCTCTGAATCAACTACCTCAGTCTCCATCTTGATAAAAAAATTCTATCGTGTTATGGTCGCTCTTCCCCAAGGGGTCTCGCACAGCTAGATTGGCAATAATTCCCTTCTCATTACATAGCGCCCAGTCTCTCTGTAGTTGGTTCCTCCACATATTGGTATGGATATTCCGTATATACTCCAGGAATTCCTCCTCTACAGCATTGAGGCTAATTTGATTTCCCAATCTGTGTGCAAATGAAAATCATGCATGATCACTGATATTCCCTTGTCACATGCACGTCTAATTTCCTGTTTAATGTCATTCCCAACATCACCACTGCAGTTTGGGGGTCTATATATGACACCTACTTATGTTTTTTGCCCCTTGGTATTTCTCAACTTTACCCATACAGACTCCACATTGTCAGAACCAATATCCTTTCTCACTGTTGTGTTAATTTCCTCTTTAATCAGCAATATCACTCCACCACTTTTTCCTTTTTGCCTGTCTGTGACTCCCTCCCCCAAACACGGTGACGGGGAGAGGGTCTGCGTCTGTGTCTCCCCCACACGTTGACGGGGCGGGGCTCTGTGCCTGTGTCTCCCCTACACGGTGACGGGGCGGGGGTCTGTGTCTGTGACACCCCCACCACACGGTGACGGGGCGGGGGTCTGTGTCTGTGACACCCCCGCCACACGGTGACGGGGCGGGGGTCTGTGCCTCTGACCCCCCCACACAGTGATGGGGCGGGGGTCTGTGTCTGTGACTCCCCCCCCACACGGTGACGGGGTGGGGGGTCTGTGTCTGTGTCTCCCCCACCCCACACACACGGTGACGGGGCGGGGGTCTGTGTCTGTGACCCCCCCACACAGTGACGGGGCGGGGGTCCGTGTCTGTGACCCCCCCACCCCACACACACGGTGACGGGGCGGGGGTCTGTGTCTGTTACTCCCCCCCGACACGGTGATGGGGCAGGGGTCTATGTTAGTGACTCCCCTCCACACACGGGGACAGGATCAGAACAGGCTCCAGATTGCCTGGTGTCGAGAGACTTACCCATGTTTGCCTTTTCTTACTCGGCTTGTTTGGGTAGCTGGGTCCTAGGCAGGCAGCGTGGTACGTGGCTCGACATTTGTTACAGTCCAGCAGATGCTGCATGGAGAAAGCAGACAGGGCTCAGCTAAACCAGTGACTGTCATTACCACAGATCACATCACAGCCAACCAATCACTTCTCCAGTGGGATTCCTGATTGCTAATTCATCACTACATGTGTGAACACAGCAAGATCACACACACGCACACTAACACAGGAAGGAAAAACAATTTTGTAAACACACTAACCTCCTCGGAGCAGAGATGGTTAAGGGGAGGGACTGAATTAAGGAGCACAAAATCACCGGGGACAGGAACATTCGATTGGGTCGATGAGGGAGACACCGTTGCCAGGAGCAGGAGGGTCAGTCACCAGAGGGACATGGACTAAGGAGCATAGGGGCAAGGCCCAGAGAAAGGTGGGGTGGTGGGGTGGCGAGGAAAAGGAAGAGAATTTGTTTATTCACACAGTGAGCCGTTGTTATAATCCGGGAGGCACCAACTAAAAGCAGGCAGATTCAACAGGAACTTTCAAAAAGAGGAAATCAGGGAAATACGGGAAGGGTAAATACCTGCAGCAGGCACGATGAGCCAAATGATCACCTCCAGTCATCGGATGAGGTTGATTTGTGACCTGGGTTGTAGCACTTCCTCAGCACTGACCCTCCGACAGTGCGGCGCTCCCTCGGCGCTGACCCTCCGACAGTGCGGCGCTCCCTCGGCGCTGACCCTCCGACAGTGCTGCGCTCCCTCAGCGCTGACCCTCCGACAGTGCTGCGCTCCCTCAGCGCTGACCCTCTGACAGTACGGTACTCTGT